TAAAAACAAAATAAATTGTAGGTTTTGTGACTTAATTGGTTATAAGACAGTAATGATAAAAGGATTTTAGAAAAAGTGAAAGGATTAAAGAGAGAGAAAGTGAGGGAAAAAATTATAAGAGAGAAAGAGAGAAAGAGAGAGAGAGAGAGAGAGAGAGAGAGAGAGAGAGAGAGAGAGAGAGAATGAATAATTGTAAAAAGAGGTACCATAATAACAACAACCTAATACTACCATTACTACCATCACTACAACAACAACGGCTATTACCCACTTCACATTCACATCAGAAGAAGTGCAGTAAAATTCTCATCCTAAATAATTCATCCTAATATAACAACCAATTGAGTACAACATTCTTTTCATGTCGATATGCATAAATACACTTAACATTTATATCCCATTCAAATATATTCAGCCTATCAATTTTTTTTAACCTTTCCTCATTTGTTCCTGTAAACTTAATCTTTTCCTTCTTTTTTTTTCCTGCCCTCTCTTATCCTACAACTTTTATTTAATTCAATTTAAATTTTATTGAATGTAAAATGATTAGCTGTTTGTTTGAAAAATTTTTATTGTTATTATCATAAAAGTAATATTGTCACATATTAAGAGAAAAAAAGCAGAAAAAATAAAAGAGTAAGAGAAATAATGAAAACATTAAAATCTTTGACCTTATCTTTATTTCAACTTCTTCGACTTTTAACTTTTCAAATCAATTAACTTAATTCTTTTTCCTCCAGTTAATCCATGCTTTACTAATTTTTAATTTTTTATTAAACATATATTTTCACAATCTTCTTAAAAAGTATTTAATAAGATTATATGTAGTAAGTGTTAAAAAGCTCAGTGTTAGCTTTTATTTTCAAATAGTTGAATTTTTGGATTTTAATACATTTTTGCAAAATATTTAACTATTAAAGTGATTGATAGAAATGTATTCATGTTGGTTTCCATATTCAGATAATTATTTTTGATTGATTTTTACGTAACTTATAATTAATTTATAGCTTCAAAATTGTTCTCATTTGTATCAGCATATATTTCATATTCCGGCATAAAATACTATTTGTTATCCACAATTAAACATAACTAATGATATCCAAGATCCACTTATCATATCTTTCTTTTGCCAATCCGTGCTACATTTTTAAAGGTTAAAATGATAACAAATGATCATATATGCAATAAAACATCTAAAATTATTCTTTATTTTTAATTTCTCCTTTAATCTAATAAATGATGATGACAAGTTTTCAGGCTTTAGCATCTGTCTCGAAAATATGGTGGAATTGTCTCAAGAGGGATCGAATGGATATTACCCCGCGGGGAAGCTTTATTCTATCTGTGCGATATATCAACTTCTGTCATAAACATTTTACAGTAAACAATAAACAGGCCTAATGTAATGTATTATCAATCAAATGATATTTGGCCATGTCACAAATAATAAGACTAACTGAAGCATGCAAGACTATCTTTTGTTCCTTCAATATTATCACTACCATTGTTATTATCAAATCATCATAATCATTATCATCATCATCATCATCATTATTGTTATCAGTTATTGTTTTCACCAATTATTCATTTTGTCACTTCCATACCCATTCCGCTATATGGCGTATTGACGGTGATAGCCCAATCTCGAACAGATTTCCAAAGGCATTAATTTGGGTTAAATGAAAAAAGAAATGGCAATGTCACATTTTAGTAAATTCTCTTTGTCGGTTCCAATAAATCCTTCCAGAAAAAATATGGAACTGAAATGAAGCGGAATAACATCAAATGCCCCTTTCCGTTTTTTTTTTTCTCTTTGCAAGAATGAAATTGGCGGGGTGTGGAAAGGGGAAAAGAGGTGAGAAAGATAGGGGAAGAGAGAGAGAGAGGGAGAGAAATGAGGTGACAAGGTTAAGAGAAGTGACAGCATGGATGAAAACGACATCATTCATTTCTTTAACTATCACTAAATTTACATTAATTATATTTAAAACGTATTTATATAAAAACGTATTTATATTTATACAAAAGGAAATAATCTCAGACAAAAAAAATGCCGCAATTTACTACAAGTATTTTACTTGTACTTTCTTCCGAAAAAAGAAAGTAACATTGCTTGGTTTAAAATAAAGAGTGATAAAATTTAAATCATAACTGAAAGAGTTTTTTCAGCTTAAATAATTTAAATTTATAATTTCTTTTGTTTTATTAAATACTTACATTTGTCCTAAATTACTACGAAAATCTTAATGTAAGGGCTAATTTTTATTTCCACTTTCCATTACCAAATTTGTTGCTGGAATAATCTTTACTTGTAAAATTTTCTTATTCTTATAGCAGAGTATAAGTATAAGTACCAAAATTAGAAAGTATCGGATGCATTTAAAAATTTAATTTTGCAAATTTGTTTAATTTGTTATATTTTATTCTACAGTAAATTATTTAAATTCTACTGTTATAATAAGCAAAAAAAGAATTGTATAGCTAATGCTCTATGTATTCAGTGCTCAACTTTTTTACCATTTTTTTTAAAAACTTTAGTAATGATCTCTTTTTTATTCTTTTCAAAATATTTAAATTTGGGTCTAAATTTAATTCATGCCTTAATTATATCTTTTTACAATTTCAATTTACTAACTTGATTCATCAAATGCATGGACAGCTTATATAATAATTTTCTTCTACATATATTAAACTCCGAAAATATACCATTTCCTAACTCTATTAAATCATTTAACTTTTAAATTTCAAACTTAAATCAAATTAAATTCATATTTAAGTTACGTTTTTGAATAGATTTTATTTTCCACTTTTAATATCAACAAAATAATTCCTTTTGCTTTAAATTTTGAAGAAACAATAATAATCAGTTATTTATTTCACTATACTTTATTTGCATAAAGCAGTAAAAAAGGAAAAAGAAAAGTTCATTGAAAAGAAACGAATAAATTTACCGCAAATTTATCAAAAGAATCCGAAAAGAAAAAGATTCATTGAATGAAAAGAAAAATAAAAGCAGAAGAAACGCTACAAATCATTTAAACAAATAATCTTAATTACTATTTTGTATGCATGCATGCATGCATACATGCACGCATGCATGTGTGTATATGTGTGCATTTGTCACGTGTCGGTATTATTCGATCATTTTTACCGGCCAATAGTATTAACCAATCAGTCAGTTAGTTAGTTGGTTAGTTAGTCAGTCAGTCAGTCAGTCATTCAGTCTTATTTCTCCTTTCATCCATACCGCTTTTCCATTTACGATAATGCAGATTGCCTTTTTGTCCATATTGTTATTCGGGAAGGATTTCGAGGGGTACCATACAATAAAATCCCATTCATAGATTTATAGATTAAGACAGAATTATCGATAGATTGATATTCTATGATTGAATGTTTTGTTTGAAACAATTCCCATTTTACAATCTTATCGTTTTCGCTTTTTCTTTTTTACATTTCTCATCGTCCTGCGACCTTATCTTACCGTATTATTTGATGTTAATTTACAATATCAAGAACAAAAAAGCACAAAATTTATCGCTTGGATCAATTTGAAAATTTCAACTTAAAAAGGGCGGGGAAATGGGAGGGAAAAGGTGGAGGATAGGGAAGAAATAAAAAGAAAAAAGTCTGAAGGATATTTAATCTGACAAATGAACAGTATGATAAACCTCTTTTAGTCAAGGCTAATCCTCTTTCTTCAACCTTTGTCATCAAATTACCACCCGACGGATGCCTGTTGCGAGGTAATATCTCTTCTTACCATACTTCACACTTGTTTACATTTAAGGTTAAAGGGTAAAGAAGTATGTGAGCTTAAATGAACAGGATAAAAATAATATTTGAATAAAATTTGAAAAAGAAAGAAGGAGAATGAAAGAGAAATCAAAAAAACATAATAATTCATTATTTTCTTGTAAGTTTCAAATACCTATTGAAATTTGCATATTTAAATACGTATTAATTCTCACAAACTGCCGTCTGACGCATATTTATTTACATAAGTAGTAATATTTACGTTTAAGGAGAAAGAGCAACAAAATATGTTTGGAATGAAATAAATGGATCAAAAACAGTTTTTTTCCGAAAACAAAAAAAAATTATAGAAAACGCAAGATTTTAAATTAAATTTAGTTTTCATTATCTTTCTGTAAATTTCAATCATCCCAAATTTACACACTTAAGTATTAATTAACTTTTAGTTTTATTTCATTCATTTTAAATTCGGAACGGATAAATAAATTGAAAATTAATTCTATTTGATGAAATTCACTAAATTTCAATATTCAATCTTTTCATTTTTTCAAAAAGAACGGACCACCCCTTTTAATAATAGTTCAAAATGGTGGACAGAATAAAGACCGTTCTCTGAGAGCCTGAAGGCGGGATCGTACAATGATCATTTCTCCACCCTTTTTCGTTCCTTCCTTTTCTACCACTATTCATATCAATAACTACTTCAAATATTCATTTCCGGTGTAATATCTACCATTCAGCAGAGCCGGAATTCATCCTCTTTCCGAAGTAATTTTCCGAATTCCAACTTTTGATACATCGCTTTTGGGAATTTCATCACTTTTAAAAAAATTTCTATTATTTTCTAATCATTACATATATTTCTAAAATAGTTGAATCAATTATTTAATATGTCGCAAAAATAGGCTGCCAACCCATGAATAGGGAAGGGTAAATGATGTTTTAATTTTTTAGAAGATTTCATAAATCTCTTCCTCTTACCTTACTTTTAATGATATATTACATTGACATGCAACATAAAAACAGAACATTTCTCAGTCAATTAAATTAATAATATCGGTTAAGTGTGCGAAACTTAACTGATATCGTTAATTAACACTATCATATGTGTATTTTAAAACAGGATTAAAAATAATTCTAATTAACAGAATTAAATATATTATTAATAAGAATTGATCACTGACATTCTCTGATTATCCTCAATTACAGTATCATATATCAATTTTCCATTTGTTTACAGAATAATGACAGCTCCATCATCAAATGAACCAACAATAATAACTTCGACGACATTTGATGCTATCAGTAAATCCCGAATACGCCGTCAAAAAGCAAATACACGAGAACGAAATCGTATGCATGGATTAAATAGGGCATTGGACAAATTACGTCAACGTGTTCCGATAACAACTCAACATCAAAAGCTTTCCAAAATTGAAACATTACGATTAGCAAGGTTTTCATATTGTACACACTTTCTGTCAAAATTTTTAACCATAAGTGATTTCTAATAATAATTCTATGAATATGACAATTATTAATTAATTATTGTTAACTTGTTCAAATTTTATTTTGAAGTTAAATTTTTTTCTAACATTTAGTAATTAATCATTATTTTGAAAATTGCATTAATTATAATTAATTATTGTTAGCATTTTTAAGAATGTTTCAATTGTTTTCACGGATTAAAACTTTCTATTCTATACATTTTCATTACTATTTTAACTTTGAGATTTTTATATAATTACTTAAGCTATTGCGTATTCATATTTTTTCGCTTATGTTTCTCACCAGTGATCATATTCCACGTATTCTTTCATATTCATTTTGATATTTACTTTATCCCTTTTGTAATATTCCTTTAAAAAAAGTTTCACTGGTAAAATTAATATCAAATTACGGTCAATAAATATAATCAATCAAAATTGAAACTAATCAAAAGGCGCCATCAAATGTCGCATAGACTTTTCGATAAATAGCTTATTGTCTCAAGTGGTAATAACTTCTAATTTGCCAAATAAAGATTACGGTATTCATACCATAACATTTTTTATTTCAAACTTTTTGCTTTAATTGTAATTAATCAAATGATGTTATTATTACTGTTATTTCTAGTACCTTTATAGGTTAGGCTTTTAATAATACAACAAAGGAAACTCTTGAAAACAATTAATAGAAATATTTTTTCACATATTTCAATATGTGTGTACGTGTGTGTTCAGAACTTTTGACACCTGAGTAGTACATGAATTTAAACAAGTTTTAATCCCGCGTGTCATTCCAATTCCACGTGTTATCATTTATCAACACTATAGAAAGCCTAATTTTGGAAAAAAATCGAGGTCCATCTATAACTGTTTTACGTGAAATGAATTTATTATAGAAATTGAAATAAATTATAAGCTCATAAAATATAAAAATATTCCATTCTGAAACAATAAATTATATAATTTACAGAAATCCTCTTGA